GCTATGCTTTATGGTGGATTCCAATTTCCTAATGCATGATTTTTTTTTATGTTAATTTCTTAAGAAAATAGAAATTCCTCCTATTAGACAATTTGGAATTTTGGACCCATGTTTTATTTAACTTTTGAACATAAATGAAATACCTTACTAACGGTTAGAACTTAGAATTTTCAAAGGGAATCTGGCCTTCATTTTTCTTTGTTTCGTATTTGATCCAAAACTTAACTTATTTTTAAGAGTCTAGCTTCTTGGAATTTTCTGTTCGGACTCTTATCTATCTGTATTTTCTATTTATTAACATTCATTCTTAATAATTGGAAATATATTCCAATTTTTTACAAGTAACTATTGTAAAAATAAAAAAATAAAAATGATGGTGGTTGAAACAATTTTCTATTTATTAACATTTATTCATAATAATTGAAAATATGGTTAATTTCACAAATGGTCACTGAAGTTATTAGAAAATAATAAAACGGTCGCTAAAGTTTAAAACTTGCAGAAATGGTCATTGAAGTTTTGTGCGGTTTCAAAAACGGTCACTGAAATTAGTTTCAGTACTATTATGTTTTAATTCAAACCTAAAGCACCAAAACACGTGGACATAGAAGCTGAAGGACCTCAAGTACAAAATTCAACTTAAAATCTCCTCAACTCCAAACCCAGACCACTACTTTTCGCGCCCCATTCCACCACATTTCAGCCACCAAAACCTCCGAACCAACACACCATCTTGAAGCCCTCGCTTCCCTCTATGCAACCCACTCAAGAACCGCCCCTACCTCCGAGGATGGTGACCGAAATTTCGTCCCAAAGTGGGCCTCTCGCACAACCGGCAGTTTTGTGCTTTGTGAGAGGCCCACTTTTGGACTAAATTTCACCATTTTTCATCCACCAAAACTATAGGACCAACACACCACCTTGAATTCCTCGATGTGCTCTATGCAACCCACCCAAGAATCATCCCTAAATCCTCCAAAAAATGGCCAAAATTTTGTCCCAAAGTGGGCGGCTCGCACAGCAAAAACTGCCAGACGCCACTTTGGGATGAAATTTCGGCCACTTTCCTGCTGATTTAGGAGAGGTTCTTGGATGGGTTGCATAGAGGGTTAACCGTATTCTGAAACACGGAAAAAAATCATTGGCTTATCAAATTATCTATCGAGCCATGAAAAAGATTCAATAAAAGACAAAAACAAATCCACTATATGTTTTACGTCAAGCCATACGGAGTAACTCCATCAAGGGCTTCAAGACAGTGTGTTGATCACTTGGTTTTGGTGGCTAGAAAGTGGTGGAATTTGGTCCCAAAGTGGCGGCTGGCATTGCTGTCATGTGCGAGCCAGCCACTTTAGGACGAAATTTCGGTCACTTCCGACCGATTTTGGAGCAGACCAACATACCACCTTGAAGCACTCGTTTTTCTCTATGCAACCGACCCAAGAATCATCCCTAAATCCTCCGAAAAGTGGCCGAAATTTCGTCCCAAAATGGGCGGCTAGCACAGCAAAAATGCCAGCCGCCACTTTGGGATGAAATTTCGGCCACTTTCCAACTGATTTAGGAGCGGTTCTTGCATGGTTGCATAGAGGACATCGAGGGCTTCAAGACAGTGTGTCGATCACTTGGTTTTGGTGGTCGGAAAGTGGTGGAATTTGGTCTCAAAGTGGCGGCTGGCATTTCTGTCCTATGCGAGCCCGCCACTTTAGGACGAAATTCCGGCCACTTTCTGGCCGATTTTTTAGCGATTCTACAGTGGATTGCATAGAGGACAGCGATGACTTCAAGGTGGTGTGTTGGTCCGGTAGTTTTGGTGGACGGAAAGTGGTGAAATTTCATCCAAAAGTGGGCCTCTCACACAGCACAAAACTGCCGGTTGTGCTAGAGGCCCACTTTGGGACGAAATTTCGGCCACCACCCTCGGAGGTAGGGGAGGTTCTTGGGTGGGTTGCATAGAGGGAAGCGAGGGCTTCAAGATGGTGTGTTGGTTTGGAGGTTTTGGTGGCAGGAATGTGGTGGAATGGGGCGCGAAAAGTGGTGGTCGGTGTGTCGGGGAGATTTTAAGTTGAATTTTACACTTGAGGTCCTTCAACTTCTATGTCCACGTGTTTTGGTGCTTTAGGTTTGAATTAAAACATAATAGTACTAAAACTAAGTTCAGTGACCGTTTTTGAAATAGCATGAAACTTCAGTGACAATTTCTACAAGGTTTAAACTTTAGTGACCGCTTTGTTATTTTGCGTAACTTCAGTGACCGTTTGTGAAAGGGTTTATCCCCTTGTACCGAGTGGGGATGACCGAATGGTGTCCCCCCCTCACATGGGGNTCTCTCAAAGAACTCAAATTCAAGCTGGTCTTATTCTATACGAAATTTGATCTTTCAGAAGAAATCCAGAGATGCCATTTTAACATACAAGCAGAACCGTGGAAGTAGCAACGTTATATTGGGTGTAATCCCTTTAGTGCTCAAAGCTTGTGCTTCAATTTCTATGCTTAGCCTTGGCAAGGCATTGCATTGTGAAACCATTAAGTTAGGAGTGGAAGTTAATGTAATGGTGGGGACTTCTTTGGTTGATATGTATGGGAAATGTAGAGATGTAGTGAGTGCGCGTAAAATGTTTGATTTTATGCCTGATGGAAATGCTGTGACATGGAATGCGATGATCGGAGGGTATATAAAGAATGGTGACATAAAGTCTGCTAATATTTTGTTTGAGAAAATGGCAGGAAAAACGTCAGTTACATGGAATGAGATGATTGATGGTTATGCAAAAAGTGGTGATATGGTGATGGCAAGGCAGGTTTTTAATAACGTTCCGGAGGAGTTAAAGACTGTGGTGACGTGGACAGTGATGGTTGATGGGTATGCTAGTAATGGGGATATGGAGGCTGCACAGGAAATGTTCGAGAAAATGACAAGAAGGAATTTTTACGTCTGGTCAGTGATGATATCTGGGTATTTTAAGAAGGGTGATGTTGACAAGGCAAGAGGGATTTTTGATAGGATGAGTTTGAGGAACTTGGTTATTTGGAATTCATTGATTTCTGGTTACGTGCAAAATGGGATGTGTGAGGAAGCAATGGAGGCTTTCAACAGAATGCAAGTTGACTGTTTTGAGCCAGATGAAGTTACAGTAGTGAGTATTTTATCAGCTTGCGCTCAGTTGGGATTGTTGGATGTGGGTAAGGAAATTCACGAAATGGTTGTATCGAAAGGAATTAAATTAAATGAGTTTGTTCTTAATGGATTAGCTGACATGTATGTAAAATGTGGGGATCTGAGCCAGGCAAGATTGATTTTTGAACAAATGTCATTCAAAAACTATGCTACTTGGAACGTTTTGATATCTGGATTTGCCATTCATGGTCATTGTAGGGAAGCTGTAGACTTCTTTAGCAGAATGGAGAAATCCGAAGTAAAGCCTGATGAGGTAACGTTTCTATCTGTTTTATTTGCTTGTGCACATGGGGGACTGGTGAAGGAAGGTTTAGAAGCATTCTATAAGATGGAAAACTATGGATTAACAGCCAACATCAAGCATTATGGGTGTCTAGTTGATCTTTTGGGACGGGCAGGTAAGTTGCAAGAAGCGTTTGATTTAGTCAAGGGAATGCCCGTAGAACCAAATGATACAGTTCTGGGGGCACTACTTGGCGCATGTCGTATTCATTCTAACACAGTTATGGCAGAACGCATTTTAGAATTGGCTGGAAAACTAAATAGTGGCTGTATTTCAAATGATGATGCACATTATGTACTACTCTCAAATATATATGCAGCTTCTGAAAGATGGCAAAAGGCTGAAGGGATTAGAGTGGTCTTTTCAAATAAAGGGTTGGAAAAGGCACCAGGATGCAGCACGGTTATGCTAATTTAGACTTGTTTTATTCGTTTATTGAATGCCGAAAAGGAAATTTCAATATGGAAAGGATGATTGTCAAAAGTTCATCAGTATTAGAAATTTCTGCTGAGTCAAATTGTGCAAAACTAGAGGTTGGACCTCTGTATCTTATGCAACATCAATGAATATTGACAAAATACATGTTCAGTGTGAACCCCATTTAACACTCAATCAATCATTACCCTCTCTAGTCAGGATTCTTGATTCGTCACTGTATGAATTTCCATTAGATAACTCAAAAAATAACGCTATCCTTTTCAAATCCTTATCGTACCTCTTCTATTGAAGACTTGCAATTGCAGTGATTAGCGTCTGATGTAGCTCTAACTTGAACTGGTAATCTTTTCTTGCTCAGTATGCTACTACTTTACAGCTTGTTAATATTTTTTTCCTCATTCTCCCCAATTATCTTGTGGCCGTATTCATGCTATTGTTGCAACTTTCATAATGAAGATTTAGCCGCTGTTAGGGCTCCATTTTTGTGGAAATGCATTTTTTCTTTCTTATTTTCAACCTCAAATTCTTCAATAAAATAATATTACACGTAAATCCAAAACTTTTCCTTATTTTTCAAGCACATATTCTCCAAAAAATCACTATTCAAAAATCTATTTTTTCCCAAAACCTATTTTTAATGGAGGCCAAACAGGGATAATATGTTCGAAAAACGTTTTGCTATGCTATATGTAACTTGTACGAATTTGCTTGCAAGTAGTTTTTAGGGAGCTCTTTTTTCATGTAATGTGAATTTCACCGGAATTTAAGCAGGTAAACAGTTTGTAGATTCTGGATGTCTGTAAATCATTGAAAAGGAGCAACACATACAAGAAGGCATCACTTTTAGGACTAGCAGTTTTCAAATCCATCTTTGTCTCCTTGGGTAGCAATTGACACAGGAACCTATTGCAGAATGGAACCATAAGACAACACCTCTTTGCTTTTCTTGGGGAAGTTCTCTTTGTAAATCTTCAAAATTGTTGGTCAAAACGAGCTGCTGTCGTGGAATCAGCTGCCCTTACATAGCAGTATGGTTCCCAGTTATGAAGCACCGGAAAACAGTACCTACAACCTATGAGATGATAGGATCTATACATGGCCATGGCTTCCTTGACCTTTTATCAGGTTTTCTCATATGTCCTCCAACCTTTCTCTGCAGTTTCTTCCTATTAAAGATGAAAGTGACTAGGAAATTAAACCATAAATCACCAATGTATAAATATTTTATATGTTTACGGGGTGTTTTAATTTTATTGTGCAGGTTTGAAGCTATTAAATGTTCATACTTTGAGATGAACTCTGAATTATGAAAATAGGTTATGTATCTTCTTGTTAAAGAGTTTGTGAGGAGCAAGTGGGTATCTAATTTCATGAATTATTTATTTTAAACGGTTTACTTGGGACCCATGAGTGGTACTTTTAAAATTTCCATAGAAATTTATGCTAGTGAAAAAGTCTTAACGGTGACTTAAAGGGGGGGAAGTATTGGCAGTTGATATCCTTGTTAGCACGATCCTCTCCTACGCTAGAACCTAAGGTTCCCTGTTGTCGGTTCCAATCGAAAAATACATGTTATTTTTGGTTAAATGTATCCTTCCATTAATTAAATAAAAATGTTACTATAATTAGTATGGAGTTTGTATTATTTTACATAAGGTAGAGATATGGCTATATATTTTAAAGTTTTAACTTTGTTCTATTTGAAGTACCAAATGTGGGGATCAATGTGGATGGACAAGATAATATGTTTAGGTTTTCAATATTATATAATTTAAAATTTAACTATATAGGGTGTACAGGACCAGACCCGAGCTCAAGCCCTAACTTTTTGGGGTCCAATATATGTAAAAAAAATTGTCCTTACAAAATAAAAATCTAAGGGTATGTTTGATTGCCAATATTTTCCATGGAAAATGTCTTTTTTCAATCCAAATTATGACTTTTGTGCTGTTTGATTGATATTATTTTTCATGGAAAATATTTTCCTATTTTTTATCACGTGATTAGATTTCCACGAAAACAGGGAAAATATTTTCTTAAGGTTGAGGTAGATTTTATTTTTCAGGCAATTGGTAATTATCATTTAAAACTGAACACCCACTAATCGCGTTACCCACCCTCTCTCTCGTCAATATTATCTCCTCACATGGATTTCTTCAACATTTCCTTCCCCATTCGACACTATGCTTCGTAAATTCCGTTGAATTATTTTCTGGGCATTCTTGATTCTCGGCCAATCAATTCATAATCTTGGTATTTTTCGTTTTCTCTGTTTTTAGTACTTGTTTTGTGTATTGATTATTTGATTTATCATCTAAAATTATGGGTTTGTTCATCCTTGAAATATTTAGTGTAATTGCTTGTTCCGGGTTTTGATTATTTGATTTATACAGGTCAACTGTTTTGGGTGAAATTGTGGTTTTCGATTAATGTTGTGCTCTGTCATTTCCTTTGGTTTCTATTTCTTCAGTTTTGGGCATCATTGAGCTTTTACTCTGTTGTAGAATCACATTGATCACATAAGAGAAAGTAATTGTCCCGTGGGATAAGTTAATGCAGATGAAAAAATGATATGCAACATATTAATGCAATTTTCATATTAGACGTATCTAATATCCGTGGTTGTTGGGGATCAGATGTTTAGCTTAGGATATATTTTGGTATAACTGGGGATATCATTGCCCTTGCATTCACCTATGGCGTTATCCTATCCATACTTCAATTCTTGGAAGAAGAAGCTAAACGGAGCTCTTCGACTTGGTCTGCTTTTATGTTCTTTTTCCTACATTGAAATTACTGCAAATTAAGAATATCAGAGTTTATTCCTTTCTTATTACATGCATTCTTTGTTATTTATAATTTATTTTTGGTAGTAGATATCCGTGCAGTATATAGACTTCTCTAGTTTAATGAGAACATACAAATTAAAATTCTTTTGCACAAAATATCACATCAAAAATCCAAATCAGCAACCAATAAAAAAGAACAAGGTAACATCTCAGAGAAATGAATATCATTTCTGTAATCTAGCACACTGAAAGATATATGTTTGTTTTATATTCAAAGGGATAAATTAATTATTTGTGTCTGATATAATTATAATATTTTCAAGGTTGAAAATTAAGTCAATCAAACACATTTAATTGGCATTTTCCATGCAAATTATTTCTAGGCAATTCAATTGCCTAGAATTTATTTTCTTTCCATGTATTTTCCATGCTTGCAATCAAACGTACCTTAACTGTTAGAATAATATATTGAAAGCCTTCATAACTTGTAGTGACAAAGTTTCAAGTTTCTTTTATGGAAGGAAATGGGTTCAAATCCCAACTATCGTCGTGTCCTTTTCCTTCCATCTGCATATTTCTTCTCCCTTTTTTTAATATTATTTTGTCATCTTCTACCTTAATTTCCTCACGTTCACAAAGGTAAAGTTGGCAAAACACTATACTTAACTCTCAATCTTTTTAGATTCGAATATTTCCTTCATTTTCAATCTTAAAATCTAGAAAACATGTTGCTCAATCTCTTTTTATGTATAAATCTTATCAAAATATAGTTTGGTGTACAGTCCTTTGTGAAGAAATTGTGTAAAATGTCGAAAAAGGATGGTGAGTTTTAAATTTTTTTTTCTTTAACTCGAATATAATAGTATTTTTTTCTTTACTTGTATATCGTGGATGAATATTTTATAGTTTTTACTTTATTATTGTATTTATGTGCATAGATAACTTTGATTTCCATTTTTTTTTTTTCACAATTTTCTTATGGGTTGTTTTCCTTTGTCATTTTCAGTTTACTCTCATACAAGGGCAACTTAAAGTTGGCTTTCACTTCTTAACATGTCCCATTGCTGAGACTATTGTCAATTCTGTTGTCAAAGAAGCTATACAGTCTAAACCCGCGTTTCCCCTCGTGTTACTTAGACTCAATTTCCATGACTGCTTCGTTGAGGTATCTTCTTTCTTCTCTTTTCTCCTATCTGATACTCTCTCTTGATATAAACTATAGGGTGTGTTCGATGGATATTATTGAAAAAAGAATGTACTTTAGATAGTGGTATGATGTGAGATATGTGGTTAAATAGTAAGAATAAGTTATTGATATGATAAAAAATATTATTTTATTAAAGAACGTGTGGTTGAAAATGAGTTTTGAAAGAATGTGCGTCAAACAGGGGCACACCTATGTATACAGTTATAATGACAATTTATTTAATTTCTTTATGATTCCATGATAGGGTTGTGATGGTTCTATATTGATTGAAAAAGATCCAGATCCTGAGAAACGTGCAAATGGTCATCAGAGAGTTGATGGATTTGATCATATACAGGAAGCCAAAGATCACTTAGAAGCTCAATGTCCTGGAGTTGTATCTTGTGCTGACATAGTGACTTTGGCTGCTAGAGATACCATTGCCTTGGTAAAAAAGTTCATTTCCCGATAAATTCGTAGTTGGTTACGCAAATTTCTTTTGTCCAATTTATTTTCCCAATAAATTCATATTGACCATTCTTTCCACTTCATCTTTCTATATAATACAAAGTCGAGTATGTGAACCCCTCTTTTCCACTACATTTTTTGATAAATTTCCTCACCTGATCTGACTCGGGAAAATCACAGTTTATTTCAAAATAAATTCGGTGTTGATTACAGAATCCTTTTTTTCAAAGTCGACTACATGAATCCTTCCCTTTTGTCCACTTCATTTTCGCGACAACTTCAGAGTTTGCTACCAAATTCCTTTTGTCACTTTATTTCCCCATAAATTTGGAGTCAGCTACCAAATTCCTTGTCACTTTATATTATAATAAATTCTGAGTTGGCTACACAAATTCCTTGAATCCACTTCAGCTCCTGATAAATTACTTGATTATGCCCAAAAGTGTTACGTGGTGTTGTAGTGTAGATTTGAGGTGTCGTATCCACAAGGGGGATGGAAAAATGTTTAAAAGATCCAAAATGGATGGATTATTATCTCAAGAGTGTAGTTGAATTCAATATTGGAAAAATGAAATTAAAAATCAATAATTTAAAACAGTGAAGCATCATAATTCTCTCGGTTGGATTGGATCATTCACATCAATTATTTAGTTTTATAACTCAATTAGAGGCTTTCATCCTAATACTTTAATCGAAAGATTTATCATGAAAACCAATTTATTTTACAAATGTAATCCTAAAGTCTAGATTTATAACATGTTTACACAATTTTATTGAAATTAGATTCATAAATCGACCATATGCTTCAAGCATAAAGCAGAAAATGAATCACANATATTCACGAAATTGAAATTCAACAAATATTTCGATTAAATAATGGAAAAAGCATGATTGAATGCATGAAAAATCTAATAAGAATTGAACCAATTTCATTGTAAATTTATAAGAATGAAAACCTAAATTTTAGCATTATTTGACAATGAAAAAATTAAAATAACTGAATAAAAAATATGAAATCACCAATTCCAACCGAGTTCTTTCGTAGCTTCACCAAAATCTTTAGTTTCTCGTGTGTTTCTTGAGCCAAACAAATGAATGAATGATGTAGAATGAAGAATGAGGCGCTCTAGGGTGTTTTTGGGATCCACTTAGGGTCGAAAAGTCATGCAAGATATGTTATCAAAAGAGTTTGAGTTATAGAAGGAAACCAGAAATTTCATCATAGAAATGACCTATGTGGCTGCAAGGTATGAACCCATGTGGCCGCATGGAACAAAGAATTGCTACTCCTGGATTCTCGGTAGATGACCATGCAACATGCGGCCGCATGGTTATAATGTTTTCCCGTTGAATAGTTTTCAGTATTTTGGCCGTATCTTCCTCTCCCGATATCCGATTAAGGTGATTCAAGATGCATTGGAAAGCTAACTCAAAGGGCTACAACTTTGCTTCAAATACCATTTTCGAATTCGATCGTTTGCCATGTCAAAAACTGGTCTCAATATGAGATTGAAAATTAGTGCAAAACCTTTCAGCTTGAAAGTTGATACGTGATAATGTCTTGCCTATATTTCACCCATTTGACTCCTTTATTCATCCAATTGACCTCTAAAACTCTCGAATATTCATCACAAGGTTAGAAACAAGTTTAGATTATTTGCACATTGGTCCATGAACTTTTGTTTTCCTCCATTTTAGTCATTTTTCACTTGTTGCTCCTTATTTCACGACATTCATCACTTTATCCTGCAAAACATGGCTTAACATAGAATTAAGCTATATTCCAACATATTAATCAACAATTGCTCATGTTTTGACAGTAAAATAAGCATGTAAAACCGTACTTATCAGGGAGCTTTATGGTCTTGTTGAACTATTTGCCATTGTCTGAAACTAAGGAATGAGGTATGCCAAACCGGCATATGATGTTTTTTCAGAGAAACTTGGAAGTGTTGGCCTCAGTAATCTTAGCCAGAGGCTCTG